GCTCTTTTTAGGAAGTGTCCATGGCTACTGCAGATGCCTGGTGCCCTGAGTTCACAATGGTATCTGTGAGAATAGAGAACACTTGTCATTTCACAGCACATGGTCAGCATCTGTGTCAAGCCTTATTTGCCCTCAGGGGTCAAAATCACCCTCTGGCAGAAGGCCAGGACACAGCCTGTTCTTCTGACCCTCCCCATCAGTAGTCCTATGTGGGGATGCAGGCTTGCAGAAAAAGTACCTGAGCTAGCTAAATCCCCCAGCTCCTGAGTGCAACTGAAGTGGGCTCCATGCTGGGCCTGGGGAAGCAGGTCAGTGAGAGGTCCTTGGATCTTTAGTTTGCATTATAACTGGTCCTACCGTTCTGTAGATTGGCAGTGCTGGAACCACGTGTCTTGCGAAAAGGCTGGGGGTAAATTCCACATCGATAACCTATTTAGGCATCCTTTTATGTAAAGCCTATTTACTTGGGCAGGACTTCATCCTTCAGGTCGAGTTAAAAAATCCTGCTGTCTTAGGTGATCATTGTAGACAGAAGCTGTGCAGCCACCAAATTCTTTCAGCATTCTGCACATAGTAAAGTTTCTTCTTTCCTTTTTCTGGGACAGTACGGTGACTATGATCCAAATTTCCACGAACCTGGCTTTTTGGCCAATGATGAGCTGTTACCCAAAAGAGTAAGTATTTACCGTGAATAGAGATGAACATTTTACTTAGCTATGTGGAGGGGCGTACGTTTCTTGGGACTGGCTGGATCACCCGCCACTTGTTCTGTACATGTGAATGCATTTTTGTGCTTGTGTTGCTTTGGATATGGCTAGAACTGTGAACTTCCGTGATATTATTTGCACACCAGGGGAAGCCAGATAGTAAACCCATGGGCAGTGCCTGTTCTCACCTTTTCTATAGAAATCCAACCCCGTCGCTTCTTTGTAGGTTCTCAGGCAATATCAGCTGACGGCAGAAATGTGGGAAGAGAAGATTACAGCTTGGTATGCAGAACACAGGGGCATTGCCAGGTACAGTAACACACTTCAGTCTTGGAGACGTCACAGGCACGGCAGTTACACTCGTGCAATCTTTTTGGCTCCAGTTGAGTTTTACTAGTATAAGTGAGAGATGGGATCTGTGACTCCAACCTCAGCTGTTTATCACCATTCTGTTTCCTAGGTAAAAACGTGGTAGTTTTGGGTCCTAAGGGCCTGCTCATGTTGGGTGCCAAGGCCCTCATGGGAGGGGCTAAATGTCTTCAGCCTGTCTTGAAGCCATTGGTGGGAGTAAGGCCTTCAACACGTTTCAGGAGGCACAAACAAGGCTCCACCTTCAGAGAGAAAAAACCTGATTTGTGGTGCACCTTCTTTTGGGAATCACAAAGAAGGTACCAGGGTGTTAGAGAAATCTAGGTACTTAGCTAGTAATTAAAATCGAGACTGGACAGAATCCACCTGTTCAGCAGCATGTAGTTAGTTTTGGTGCTGTTTCATGTGGATGTGTAAGGGCTCTTACAACTAACATTGAAGCCTCTGGAAGTAAAAGAAAAACCTGAGGGAAATAATATGGGCAGAAAGAGTTGCGTGGCTCAGTTGATATGCACAAAATTCTTTAATTTACTTTCCTTCTCTGACTGCCCTGGAAGTTCATTAATATTCTTTCCTCACTATTTATTATTGTTTTACCTTTGTGAGGAGAGAGAACCACGGGCCTTGATTGCTGGGTGAAGAGATTGTTCTACTAGGCACAGGACAGCTTCTGTGTTTTGTTTTGGACTCTGTCCACACTGGTGTTTGGTGCCTCTTGCATCCGTGCTTGTCAGTGAACCATAGCAATTTTTATGCTTCCTGAGGGAGATACTCTTGAGTCATGGAAGGCAGTGTTATAGAGCTCTCTAGTCAGTGGTTGGCGGTAACAATAAAATAGACATGCTGGGCCGAGATCAGAGCCAGGTACCAAAAATCAGTAAAAGTCATTCTGGCACATAACAAAGTAGGTAAATCTTTACTTTGATTATCCTGGTTAGATGCTGCTGCTCTTCGCTCTCCATGCTCTGAGTAATAGATCTTGCACTTAACAGCATAGCTCATAAACACTGCAGAGACAAACCATAAGAGCAGTCAAATTGAATTAAAAAGGAGACTGTTCTCCTTAAAACAGTAGCGGGTAATTTGATCTGAAGAAAGGGGCTAGAGTTTACATGATTGTCCAGTGTGATCTCTGATCTGTTTTGCAGGGATGAAGCGGAGATGAACTATTTGAAAATTGCACAAGACTTGGAGATGTATGGTGTCAATTATTTTCCCATTGCTGTAAGTGTCTCTGAGTGGTATTTCTAATTGGTATAGATTCTTGCAGTGTGGTTTTTAAACCTGCAGCATAGCTAGATCCAGCGTGTTCTAGTGCCAGGAGTTGGGATTCCTAGGTTCTGTTTCTGTCTCTACTGGTGACTGGTGCTGTCACCATTTTCAGGCCCTTCTGTGGCTTGATTTAATTGTCTATATAATAAATCCCTGGTAGGGATGCAATTTGGGACCTAAGGATCTAGAAGTATGGACCTCTTCTGAATGAGCTAAAGGAACAGGTTAGTTAGCCAGTGGTGATGGTGGATTTACAAACCTGTTTTGTGCTGGAAACCCTGGCTCCTAATAGATACCAATAACATTGCTTAGAATAAACATACTGCTGGATGAGATAATACCTGCTACTAGAAATGGCATTTATTGCCTTATTTATTTTTTTCCTTTGCAGCAAAGTAAGAACCATACAGATCTCCTCCTTGGAGTTGATGCCAAAGGTATTCATATCTACAGCATAAATAACAGGTTCTCTCCAAATAAGTCTTTTGAGTGGAGTGCTATCAGAAACATTTCCTATAGTGAGAAAGAGGTAGGATGGACCTCTGTTTTGTGAGTATGGGCTTTTTGTACTGGACTGGAAGCTGTCTGTCTGTCTGTGTGTCTCTCTGTTGGAAGATTTGTTACAAAACTAAGGTTCTGGGCTGCACGCTTTTGCTCCCTTGAAAGTAGTAGGAGCTGTGAACATTCAGCAGCACTGAAAACAGGACCTATCATTACAATCTAAAAACTGGTTGACTCTGGTGCAACAATGATGATAGTGTCTGTTCATTTTCCAGCAGCAAAGGGTTACACGTAAGTGGGAGCACTTGTCTCAGCAGGAAAGCCAGGGGTTGAAGTGTCCCTGAAGACTGAATACCATTTTCTTTCACAGAGGTGCTCTCTCTAGGTTACATTGAAGCCCACTGGCAAGGGAAGGCATGAAGGGTGTGGTTTACACATCTCCTTAGGTTCCACTTGTTTTGTCTGCATGTGGAAGGTTCAGTCTTCAGGACTTTTAATCTAGCCCATCTCATAAGTATTAACATTCACTTATAGAGTACAGATCATCCTCTGTACAGCACATAGAGGGTAGGAAGTGGGAGAAGTGAGACATTTTTAAATGTAAAAAGATGTGCTATCAGGAAGACTGTGGCCTGGGAGGGTGGGCTGGGAAGGGAATACAAGCCTAAATAAAATTAAGCATAAAAGCAGAGCATAGCCGTTCTTTTTTTTCAGTGTGTTTTTTTGTTTTTGTTTTTGTTTTGTTTGTTTGTTTGTTTTTTATAACGCTTGGGGTCCAAATTCTGCCTTATATTAAAATCAGAGGCATGCATGTTTTAAAGCTTCCACTATTTTGAATTCACAGTCCTGCTGCTTGTAATTGGGGCAAAACAAGCTATAACAAGTTATGATCTCAATGACTCAGATGACTTGGGCTGAGATTATGCAGTCATTTGCAATGTGTCAAATAGAGTGCTAACTTATGAGTCACAGCAAACAGGATCTAAAAGAATGGACTTGCTTTTATTATGCTGCACACAACAAAGGAAGTGAAGCCCTAGATGCATGGCAGGGTGTCAGCTTTCGCCCAGCTCATCAAATAACAGCCTGGAAGATGGGCTCAAAATAAGGAAGAAAAAACTCCATCAGTTTCCCCGTGTTCAAAAGCCGTTTTGTCATGTCTTCCCCTTTTTGTTCATGGTGGAAATAACTTGAATTGAAGGTGTTGGATACTTCTTGAGGGTGGGCTTGATTATATTGAATTTGTTAAACCAGTGGCTTCTCCTGGAGATTTAAGCCAAAGTAACAATAACCAGTGAGTATGGTGGTATTAATCTAGAATTGTGTGGTCACATCACAAAAATTATCATCCTAACTGGTCCCTTTGCTGAGGATTTAGCAGATTGAGATTGGGACAGGAACTCTTATGGTAAGCTCCGGTCCTCTTGTCTCTGTTCTAGCTCTGTCCCTGAGGCCTTGAGTGAGCCACAACTCACTCTGCTCTGGTTTCCCCCCATACAATTGGGAAAAGTGCTGTGGGTTTGAGTTAATGTCTGCAGCAGTATTCAATATTTGAGCTTTGTAGTGATCCCGATCTCTTCTTTCTTTCCTCTCTCTTTCTTGTCAGTTGACGATTAAACCCCTTGACAAAAAGGCAGAAGTTTTCAAGTTCTTTTCCTCACAGCTCAAAGTAAATAAACTGGTAAGCACACTGACTTGCTTTCAGTCTGGATGAAGTATCAGTCTCAATTGTGTTGAGTGATATCAGAATGAAAAATACTATGTTCAGGATGGCTTTCATGGTCAAGTAGCAGTAAAGACCACAACAGTATTGGTGCTGGGGGAGGGTGGGGTGTAGATTAGATTACCTCTGCAGGTCCTTTCCAGCCCTACTTCTCTGTGAGTCAATGATACTTAAGAGACCTGTGGCCATTATAACAACTAGCATTGAAAGTGAGTTGGTAAAAATTGATGTAGGGGGGCCTGGAGGACCACACTTCCTGAGGGGAATCGGAACTTGAGCTTGAACACATGACTTGTCTGTAGATTATTCTGTCTGACATGTGGGGTTGGGTTTGTCTTCATTTATAACAGCTCCAGGTGGAGAGTTGTGTAAGAGGCTTGAGACTCTTAGGGAAGTGATGGAGATGTAGATTGGGATACAGTAGGAAGAAACAACACTCCTGTTGTCTGGAGCCCTGCTTTTTTACGTTCTCACTCTAGATAAATTCCACTTACCTCTCCTCTTCCAACTATAGTGGAGTAAAAAGTGGAGCCAGAAAAGCGAAGGCACCCTTAGCCTGTGAACCAGGCAGTGTCGTACCTGCCAGGATAGACACCTGTAACCCTGCACTCTTACTTTTATTGGAGAGAAAGGACCTCCTGATTTGCATTGCTGTTAGCCCCAAGCAGGATGTCCGTTTGCATTTCCTTGCTGTGCTCTTTATCGCCCTTGCTGCGGTGCAGATGGGTTTGCAGTCATTTTTTTTGTTTTGTTTGTTGCAGATTTTGCAGCTGTGCATTGGAAACCATGATCTGTTTATGAGGAGGAGGAAAGTGGACTCGATAGAGATCCAGCAAATGAAAGCACAGGCCAGGGAGGAAAAGGCTAGAAAAAAGGTGGATTCTGTTTCTCACTACTCAAAATATTGTCTATTTTATTCCAGTTGGTCCAGTCGTTATACCTATATTATCTACCATATTTGTTCAGATCATGAACGTAGCAGAACGTAGTTGTGTGTCTGTTTACTGTCTGCCACGTATGTGCATGAGTTTTCGATCAGGCATGGGATGTCTGAAGATGTGGGACAGAAAGAAAGATTGAGAGTGGAGGGGAAGGGGTGATATGAGTGCTCCCTATGAACATCTGTTTTGTATGACCAGGAATTCATTTTGATGCCCGTGTGCTGACTGGGCACTGCATGGAATGCCTAACTGATGCTGGCTGGCGGTGGTCCAGCAGGATCATTTCAGCTCTTCAGAAGCCCTTGCCCAGTTTGCTCTGTGATCCCAATTCCAGCACGGACTATGCTGCAAATCTGCAGACTTTTCACACTGCTCATTACCTCCCCAGATGGAGAACCAGAGGCTAGCCAGGGAGAAGCAGCTGAGAGAAGAAGCAGAGCGAGCCAAAGAAGAGTTGGAAAGGCGTCTCTTCCAGCTGGAAGATGAAGCCAGGCAAGCCAATGAAGCACTAGTGAGTGTTACAGTAGACTGTAAATGTCATTAGACCTTGGGGACAATTGGATTTCTAAGCCCTTTTTCCTATGGCCCCAGCCAGGAGTCTGGGGTTATTCTTCAAGAAAGGATGGAATGCCTTGGGCTAACGGGGAGCAGAGAATATAGGGATGGTTAGGAGGAGCCAGGCCTGGCTCAATCTTTTTTTTTTTTTTTTTTTTTCCTGGAAATCATTCACTTCTACTTGTCGCTAGTTCCAACACCTCTCTCAGGCTAGGAGCCAGAGAGGAAGAAGGCAGGTTGCATTGGGAGCAGACAGTAGGGAGGAGTTAGCATTGAGCACTGGCTCAAATACACCCTGGCACGGTAGCTGGTGAACCTGGCAGCTGCAAGATGGCTCTTGATGCTGTGCACATTTAGGCGCAGCCTTGGTCCAGGACTGAGTAAGGGTGAGAGCCTGCTAGGGGGGAGAGAGCTTGTGTAACAGAAACGTGGGCAGAAGGGAAGACTAGAATCTGGGAGCAGAGAGAAGAAACTCTGCAGACATGCTCTTTGTTCCTGGTCCTCAGTGTAGTGATCTTACGGAGAAATGTACTGGTTCTTGCTGTGTAAAGGGTTAATGTTTTATTCCTTGATGCATTGGGAAAGGCCTCCTGTCTGGAAGCTGACTGTAGCTGTTGTTCTTTTCTGTGTGCTGCATCTGGTAGCTAATAAAGATTGTCTTAGCTCCACTCCCAGGAAGCAGCAGAGCTGCTGGCTGAGAAAGCACAGATTGCAGAAGACGAGGCCAAACTGCTGGCCCAGAGTGCTGCAGAAGCTGAACAAGAGCGGCAGAGGCTGGAGATCACAGCGCTGAAAACCAAGGAGGAGAAGCGGTTGATGGAGCAGAAGATGCGGGAGGCGGAGCTCATTGCAGTGAAGCTGGTGAAAGAGTCAGACCGAAGGTTAGATTTCCTTGTGGGTGTGGCCTTGTGTGAGGCTGGGCTACTCATGAAATGTGTGGATGTCTTCTCAGAGCCCAGCTATGGAAGAAGGCATTTTCTAAGTGACCTTTCCTGGCGATTTTACCTTAACATGCCTTATACAGTTTCACCTCATCCCAGCATATTTGAGATTTGTGCCAGAAAGACTAAACAACAGACAATCAGGCAGAGATCTTAGGCTGGAAAGAGACTAGTATCTCTTTCCATAGCCTCAGGACTGCAGAAAGATTACGTGCTTACACAAACTTGGTGTAAGCAGTGCACATTAAGTGCTGAAAAACACATCTCCATTGCTGTCAGTTCTGGGGTACTAGCTGCCCACAAACTCAGTAGCCCCCGTGAATTTCAAGGGGTCTAACAGCAATGCCTTGATGGTTTCTGGTGCCTGCTATGAAGCTGAATTTAGTACAGTTATATTACAAAGCAGACAGAGGGGCTGAAAGATGTCATGTACTTAACTGGTTTATGTACTTAACCCAGGTGAACATAACTTAGTTATAATGAATGCAACAGGTAAGATGTCGAGATGGGGAGGGTGTTATGGGGTATCGAGGTCAATTATGCTCTTACATGATAGGCAACACCTTTCACTTAGAATTAGCCAAAGACTTGTGGCTCACTGTATTTACTAGTAGCAAGGAGACTGTTTAAACTAATTAGCATAGCTGGACAAGTTTTATTACAGCTTTCCTGAACTAATGTGATGCACTTAACATAAACCCTGTTGTAAATAATACGTATTCCTTGGGAACTATAGGGCAGATTTTGAAGGCTTAATGCTGTCCTGATGTTGATGGCATGCCTCTCGGTGCTCCTCACCTCATCCCTGAGGCTCTTCATGTGTGCCAGGAGGGCATCAAACATCTTCCCAAAATAGAGAGCATGTACTTTGCAACCCAACTTCCTAGATAAAATCTTTGTTAATTAGTAGTCAGGAGTCTTGGAATTCCAAGTCAGTAGGTGAACAACTGGGTCCATAGAAATCGGATATGAAAGGGATGTAAAAGTCAGCCAGCTAATGCACCATTGTCCTCAAGTGTCATCTCCTTCTGCTTTGTCTGGTTTCTGGTGTCCCATGTTACCCCACACACCCTCACCATTTTGTTGGGGAAAAGCTCTTGTAGAAGTTCCTAGCTCTTGATCTCAAAAAGCTAGTTAGGCAGAGAACTCTGAAATCGGTGTCCTGTTATGTTTGAAATCTACTGCATACATCACAGTGTTTGTCTGACAGAGCCAAAGAAGCTGAACATCTCAAACAGGATCTGCACGAAGCCAGGGAAGCGGAACGGAAAGCAAAGCAGAAACTCTTGGATGTAACCCGGCTGAATTATCCTGTACGTCACCTCATTTCCACTCGGGGGGGGGGTGGAATATGCGGGGTGGAGCACTTTATCTCGGAGAAGACGGATTTAATCTTTTAGCATGTAACCAACTATCCTCATTTCTTACCTCTTGGCACTAAAGAAGTCAACTTTGAGAAAAAATATTGTAGAAGCTGGGGATGCTGCTTGCCAATGAAGAAAACTGTTCAAATTGTACTGCTTATGGTATAAACTTACTCTGATATCATTTAATCTTTCAGCATGTAGCCCGATATCCTCATCACTCGCCTGCTGACACCAGAGATGTCAACTTTGACAAGGGATCTGTAAAGTTGGATTTAAAAGACATAGACCTGAAGAGACTGTCCTTTGAGATAGAAAGAGAGAGGTACCACAATGCTCCTAGATGTTAACAAAGTAGGCAGTCTTCATTTTAGAAACTAGAGGTGGAATAAATCTACTTGGCCTCATGGTGAATATTTCTATTGGTGCCAGATTATGCCCTCCTATTCATATCACGGATGCATCTTACATCTGCATAAATTAGCTTTATACAAAGAGAAAAGATGTTTTTGAAGAATCAAGCCTTGATGAATACAAAGTTTCTGTCTTAAAGACTCGTTTTTTTTTCTGGTAGCAGCATACTCTGCTCGGGTAACAGTGCATAAGAAGATGTAAATGTCCCTCTAGTGTTGGGTTATAGTATTGTACAAGTGACCTGGTGCATCAAGGAGGGCTTTTCCTTCCTTTGCAGCACTGGTTGCAGTGCTGTTTGTTTTGTCCACTGAATAGTGGACTAAGCAGATCATTGATTTGTACTGTTGTGATGTGATTGTTCATATTTCTTTAAATACTGACTTTTAAAATCTGGCCAAAAGGTTATTCAGAATGATCCTATATATACTGCTGCCAAACATAGATATTAGAGAGAATCAAGAGGTTAAAAGTTTTCTGCACGTAAAGTGATGCTTACTTCCCTGTGTGTACTATATCATATTGTATACAGCTGATAGACCATTTGCTGACAGCGAAAGAATCAGAAACATTTATTAGTCCTGCCTGGCCTGAGTCTAGTGATAAACATTCAGTGGAGCTGGCAGATTCATTTCTCATTGTTCCCACTTGTCCCCTCAGCAAGGGAACCAAAATCTGCAAACTTCCTGTGAGCACTATGACCATAATAACAGCCAAAACTAAAACCAGTGTCACTGAAAGCCTTTCCCCTCTATGAAACAAAAGGGGAACATTTTGTCAAGCCTATGGGATCAAGTGTTAGAAGTACAAATGGACTGAGATAAATGACAAATCACTGTGTGTGTCAAATTCATCCCTAGTGTAATATCATTAGACTTAAGCCCAGAATGGCTTTGTCCCAAAAGCTGAGTGCAAGAACTTTTGCGTTATATAAAGTAGGAGAATGAAGCAGCTTTAAAAATAACTATAGTCCTTTTTTGAGCAATTCACTGATTAATTTGACTCCTCTTTGGCTTCTCCTCATGTGGACTGCAGGTTAGATTACTTAGACAAGAGCAAAAGATTTGAAGATCGATTGAAGGAACTGAAGTCAGAAATCCGTGCTCTGAAGCTGGAGGAAAAACAAACTGGGCTCTACTCTCATTGGAACGAAGTTCTTGGATCCTTGGATTGTTCCTTAGGACATGTGTGTAATCTTAAGTATAGGTTGTGTAGTAAGCTCACCCATATCATGGAAGTTGCTCATAAGTATCTTGTTGGCAGCATGAACCATGACAGAGCACTGAAATCCCTAAAATAATTGTATATGTGAATGTATGTTAAAGGTACAGCATTTACTTTGGTTCCCTGTTCTCTGATTCTACTGGCAGAAAATTTGAAAAGTGTGACTTGAGAGGTTGAAAAAAGCCTTTTTAAATCTGTGAAGCTTTTTGTGAGTGGAATCCTTTCACACACACAATAATCCCAAACTCCCCGTATGATATGAAGGCTGTTGAAACAAAATGAATTCTGTTCATTTCATGATATTTAAGCAAAACTTTGTCATCACTGACACCTTTTTCTAGTCCATACTCTTCTGGGTGATACTTATTGTTCCGAGTGGTTTGGTATTTTTTGGTGAAGCCATAATTTGTCATAAGGTTTTTGGGATTCCATATACACAGTTCCTAGACCCTTACTTAACCAGTGCAACAGTGACATGGACTCAGTCCTTTCAGTAGCCCCAAACCAGGTAGAAGTGACTGAAGAGTGAAACATTTTAAAGACAAAAGGAGGTGATGTTGGGGAATGGGTGAGGGGCCCATAATTCCAGATCAGTGCATTTTAATACTCTTCTTGGCTTAATATGAATTGGCGTAGTGACAGCATTAATGTTTCATGCGTTCTGCTCTTTAAAGGTCCCGTCATGGATGAAAACCTTTGAAGCTGTGGATTCGTTGGATATAAATTTTCAGAGGCCTTTCCCTGCTTACCCGCTAAATGCTACAAGCAGCTGGCCATGTACTAACAAAAATCAATGTATGGAGCCCATGGGAAAGTCACCTTTTCAAACAGATACCTTGGTTGCCAGCAACGTGGGCACAGGAACTAGAAAACAGATTGTAAAGGTAAGGAGATTGATTTGATCTTTTTCAAAAGTTGAATAAATGTAGTACTTAAAGATTAATGGCACTAGGTTGGGAACCTCCGTCTACCTCAGTCCCAAGATATGTATGTACTGGTAGTTATACTAGTTGTAGGATTTGCTGTCCACAATGGCCTTTCGAGACTGTATGTAAGTTGACGACACAGGGGCTAAAATGAGACCAATTGGCTCCATTCTACTTGTGAGTCAAGTTTTAATTGGAGAATTTTGGACTTTTAATCAGAAAAAAACAGGATCCCTGCTCATGACATCCTTCATCTTCAGACTTTCCAGGCTCACTGGTGCATAGTTAGAAGTTTTTACAATTTTGGCTCCCACTCACATTCTTAATAGGATGTTAGGGTGGAAATAATTTTTTTTTTGTCTCTGATTTATGTGTAGGTTCAGCAACACGATTCAGATGTGATCTACATTTAAAACATCTTGACAGTTTGGTAATGCTTTCCCAAAGAGGTGAATAGGCAAAACTTTGTGATGATGCATTTGCCTGACAAGAAAAGAAAGATTTATGCAAGAACATGTTGTAGTTCTAGCTGCTGAAATACATCAGCATAAAATATGTTGTGTAGTGACAGCATGGTGCTGTGCACCTTCTAAACAAGCAGCATATGCTGCTTATATTAAAAATGTCAATGGGATATAATAAGCATTTTTGCAAACAAGCAAAACAGAGGAGCCAAACTGCATCTTGTTTACTTTTCACGCACTTTGCAAGGAAACACTTTATGCTTGAGGTCTTTTATCCTAAAATGTTTTGAAAGCTGATGGACACAATACTGATGAAATGCCAGACCCGTAAATGAAGTGTGGAAGACAACAGCATCTAGCACGCTGGTGGAAAGAGAGATTTGGACCGGAGAATCAAGGGAAAACACCCTGCATTTACAAAAATGCAGTAGGATCTCAGTGTTTATGTGGCATCCAGGACTTCAGTTTTAAATCTTATCAATTGGGCCCGGCCCTGATACTGCTCAAATACGTATGCTATACCAGTCTAACCTTCACAAACATAACTGTTCACATACTTAAGATTCTGTTGGGACCTTTTCCTCCCCGTTTGTTCACAGATCTCTTACGTTGATCAATCCTGGATGCAGGATAAATCCTTAGTGTGGAAGCATGAGGCTTCTGTTATTTTTGTGTTGAGAGCAGTTTAGTTGCTCACGCTTGTCTGCTGCGTAACTGAATAGTTCTGTGGAAGCTACTCAGAAAGTGCTAGAGACAAAGGGCACCCATTAGTGTCTGCTAAAGATGGACTCATGTCTGATGGACTGTAAAATATGGCATATGCAACAAAGCACCTCCTTTCTTTTCAGTGGAACCAATCAGTACTTTCAGATTCTGTGCATCAAAAGTATATTTAACTGAGAACTCTTCCAACTGCCGAAGTCTGGAAAAGACGATAATATACTTGTTACTGAAAGTGTCTGCAAGACCATAAAGTAAAAACAGATGTTAATGTTCGTAACTAGAGTCCTAAAAACCGAAATTAAAAAAAAAAAAAAATCAGAAATGTTTAAAAAGGTTTCCATTCACTTTTGTTGTCACTAGCTTCTTAGCCGGTTAGTCTCTATTACTCTGCTTTAGAATTAAGGCAAAAGATGAAACGCCAAATAAATGATTTCCCTTATGTGATTAAGGGCATGGATGGTACATACATCTTCTTTTAAAACTTAAACTACTCTCAGCTTTCATCCTCACAGCCCAGCATAACTACTGTTTCCCCCTATATGCATATCTTGCGTTTTCAGCTGTACCCATGTTATTCAGACTGTGCAGGGAAATACAGGCTCCCACTGAAGAGGGTAAGACTGGAAAATTAGCACACTTGATCACTGTAAGCTTTTACTGGGGTTTATTTTGATACGAAGCAAACATCCTTGTTGACACGTAAATAAACCACGTCTCTATGAATTTTTTTAATCAAAAAGAACTTCTACTACTAGAAACAACCTACAACTCACCCCCTCCAAGTGCAGAAAGGGCCTTAATACAGAGATAGAGTTGCAAGGCTCTCAAAAAGCTTATACATCAGACCAGGCTCAAATCCTGGGTTTTTCCCTTGGGTAGCCACCAAGCTGTTCCAGACACCAAACTGTAAAGGAAAACAGACCTTGTGGTTGTAAGCAATGCAATGTTACGTTTCCACACAACCCAAAGTATTGGATGAGAGTCTCGTAAAGTGCCCAATTTAATGTCAACCAGATGTTAACACCAAGTGCCAGTGACACATTAAATATCAGTGTTTACTCTCACCACTTAGCAGAGTGTATATGGAAGAGGAATGGTCATGGTTCAGTAAGGACTTGTCTACAGAGAAGCTTATAAGCCTCATTATGGTTGTAGGCCTCTGAATTTGGGCCCGTGTCCCCAGAGAAGAGATTGGGGTATTTATGGTGGTTAACTTACATAGGTAGCAGTGATGTGTTGCAGCTGAGCACGCATTTTGAATTTGCTCCCCCAATTTAAAAGGGGCTTAGGGTTACTGGGCTATAGGCTCCATCTGTGGAACTCTGGTGTATCTAAAAACTTTTTCAAAGCTGGCCTTACACCAAGCTGAGGCTGGGAAACCAATGGGTCTTTCTGGTAAGGGCGCTCCCTCCTATTCTCATTTACAGAGGACTTTCCAGCTCTTGCTTACCTCAGGTGACTTTGATTGTCTTTGCTTGTGTATGTTAGCAGTCTTACCTCTCTGTAGAAAACATATGCATCAGCTGAGATGAAGGGACGTGGCTGTGCTTGTCATGTAATGCAAATGATGAACTTACCCCTTGCACCAGGCACTGTGGATTCTATTAATTAGCACACGTTTTGCTGCTCAATGCTCCTATCACAGAATTTAATTTAAACTCTGACTGCTTTGCCTTGTTAGCTGTGGCCGTGGAGTTTGCTGAATCTCCATGTTTAATAGTTTAACCTACTGCTGCTACTCTAGCCTCTTTCAGGAAGAATGAATCTCTTGCTCTCTGTGGAGCCTAGTGTTTAGTTGTGTTACATACACACACACACACACACAGGGTATCTAGCTCAAACTGGTGCTCTGTAAAGTATCTTACCAGTAGTACTCCGTATAGATTTTCATTTTACACTCAAGCCCCTTGTCAGAAATTTTACACAGACACTGACTAGAGACATTTAGAATAAAGACAGACTAGCAGAAACGCCTTCCTACTTTCTTAGACTGGATAAGAAAAGGAGCATGTGCAATGTTTACTAGTGGGAAATGAAGGTCCAAGACAAGCATGTCTGTTGTAGCAGCCAGAGGCTGTTCCCCATTACAGCCCTGATTAATTTCAGTAGTGAATTTGCATGCCAGCAAGGGAGGGACATCATGCCATAGCTCAGTGGCAAAGGCTATCGCTTTAGCCTAGCAGAAAGATATGTCATCAGCACTGATGACTCCTACACTATAACAAAAATACTTGCTTTATTTCATGTATAAACAATAGTTTGTTATTAATTTATCCAAATATAGCTGTAAGAATAAATTACTCTGCAAACTTATTTCCTTTGAAAAATACAGCGTGTCCTGTTTGTCCCCACTGAATGAAGGCTGCAAGAACAGTCCTCAAGTCATCAATATGTTTCTCTAGCAGGCTAGGGCACCTAGCTTTCATTGTGTGTGCTGTTTTAGGGATGACACATCACTTGCTTGTCTACAGCTTTTTACAAAGCCTTCCATGCAGCACTGAATCTAGGTAAAGGAAAACCAGCTTGGCATACTATCTAAATCAAACAGCGTTCAGCTGCGGCAGACACCGTTGGCAGAAAGAAGCTAACAGGGAGCCTTTCAATGCTAGGTCTTTAACTTTATCTTGGCTAGTGCACTCAAATACTTCCTATTCAAAGTCACTTGTTATGCAAGTAAGTGCAAGAAAACACCACATGGAAAAAATCCCAAGTAGAACTAGTGTCAAAAATTTGGCAGCAATAGGCTGGAAAAGTGTGAGGGCATAGCAGGATGGACCTGCCTCTTAATACAGCATGCGTCACAGAAATGCTGTTCCTGAAGAGCATTTACTCAAACTTTTCATCGCCTTCTTCCACGTCTTTCAGGCTGACTACTTCCAGCGTGCCTTTCCCCTTCGTCTCGCACCGGATCAGTTCATCAATCTCTCTGAAGCAGCCTGGGTCAATAAGGCATACCTGAAACAGTTCACATTATCATCAGTCGCACAAGAAAATTTAGTCTGTGCCATTTCCTGCTTATGTATGATAGTTTTCTATGCAGAGATGTCCGATCTGTTAGCTGTTAGTAAAAGAAGCTTCCCTGGCCACCACTGAAAGCCTGTTTAACAATGTACCTCGACTGCCCTGAGGTAGTTTGGAAGCTCTATATGATGGTAAAATTACTGATTCAAAACAATTAAACTGCAAAAATGCCCAGACGCTCCCCAATTCTAAATCTTTTATTTTTCCTGTAATCCTATATAAAAAAAAATTACAGTGCTGTCTGCATTGTATTTTACTGCAGTTCAATGTAAAATGATGCTAAAACAGTCCATTAAAGTATAATGCCATTTTCTTTCATTTGACAGTGTCAGGAAGTTATAGGTAACTCACTGTCCACTCAGTATCTCTAACTAAAGCAGGCTGAGAAATCTAGTATAAAACTGTGGCTAACCCAGCTTCCCCCTTGTTTGTTTCCTCTAGTGCTACATGTAAGAATAGCAAAACTGCCCAGAACCAAGAACAGAGTTCTCTTACAATTTCAAACTGGTCATGGAAGTCTTCACTTTCTATGACTTTCATCAATGGTTTAAGCTTCTCTTTCAGCTTCTTCCCTTCTTTTTGTGGGAGAACTAACCGCAGTCTCATGTGAGCTCGCTCAATCTTCATGTTCTCCTTTAACTGTCTGATCACTTCCAGTGCCTACAAAGACAGTAAATATGAGTGAAATCTCACCTTATACTCGTTTATTCTGACTATCACCTGCCCACACCAAGATGTAGTAGTGCCTTCCAATGTCTTGTATGGGCAGAAGTGTTTTTCAGTACATTCTCCTGAAATTCTCTAGCATTGAGACTGATGTGCTGCTTGCAGCCGATTCCTGTGACAAGACATGTCTTTTCCACCAA